TACAAAAGAGGATATCCAAACGGCAAATAGACAAACTGCAAAAAATGTGTTCAAGTTCATTATTTAAGAGATAAATGCATATTAAATGACAATGAGATCCCCTTTCAAACCTACTAGGCTGGCTAAAATAAAAAATTAAGTGCTAATATATGGCACTTAATTTATGGTGAGATATGGAGCAACTAGAACTCTCATACAACACCACAAGAGTGTAAACTCTTACCACTTTTTTGGAAAATTATTTGGCAGTGTATACTAAAACTCAACATACACATACAGTAATACCCAGAAATTCTACTCCTAGGATATACTGAACCAAAATGCATGTACATGGTTATCAAAAAAAGAAAAAAAAAACCAGAATATTCACCACAGCACTATTTGAAATAGTTCCAAGTGCCTGTCAGCAAAATGAATGTATTAATACACAATATGTATTAATACATATATACACACACATAGACATGCATATGTATAAACTTTTAAAAACCTTGTGTTAGTCACATCATGAAACACAATATAGACTATGGAGTAGTGAGAAACTATATACAACAGTATGGATGAATCTTGCTCACATAATGTATAAGAAGCCAGTCACACACACACACACACACACACACACACACACACACACTATATATATATATAATTGCACGATTCTATTTATTTACAGTCCAAAAGCAGATTAAACTAGCCTAGTTGTTACATGTCAGCTAGGGTAACTTTCGAAGAGACAGGCAGTAACTAGAAGGAAGGCCAAGAAGGTCCTTTGTTGCTATGTTCTCTTTCCTATTGCTAATGTTCTATTTCTTGATCTGAGTATTGACCTGAGTATTGATTACAAAAGTGAAAAGTGTAAAAATTGGCACAGCGATGACTTTGATATGTACACATTCTTGTATATTTATTATGCTTCATTAAAAGTATGTATATATCATAAATGGATATCCAATAAAAAGCAAACAATAGGTAACGTAAGAAGAGGTGAAAACTCTAAGAAAAAATCAAGAGGAAATGTTAGAAATAAACAAACACTGTAAAAAAAAAAAAAAAAGAAGAGCTTGGTGGGCTCTGTAACAGACTGGATATGGCCAAGGAAAGAACTGGTGACACTGAAGAAATGTCAATAGGAACTTCCAAAACTAAACCACAAAGAGAAAGAAGAAGAAAACAACAGAATATCTGAGAACTGTGAGATAGTTAAAAACACATAATCTAAGAACTATGAGACAGTTAAAAAAGATATAAGACCTGCATAATGGAAATATCAGAAGGAGAAGGAAGAGAAAAAGGAACAGAAGAAATATCTGAAGCAATAGTAACTGAAAATTATCCCAAATCAATTACAGATACCAAACCACAGATCCGGGAAGCTCAGAAACAACAAGCAGGATAAACACCACAAATTCTACACTCAGGCGTACCATATGCAAAGTATACAAACTCAAAGACAAAAAAAAATCTTTAAAGAAACCAGAGGGAAAAAAATCCTATAGAGGAACAAGGTTAAGAATTGTATCAGATCTGTCTTCAGAAATCATGTAGGCGAGAAGAGAGTGGAGTGAAATATTTAATTGTCAAAAGAAAAACAACCATCAATTTTGATGTTTAATTTATATGTCAGCTTGACTGGGCTAAGAGATGCCCAGATAACTGGTATAACATTTCTGGTGTTCCGTGAGGGAGTTTCTAGAAGATACTAGCATTTTACTCAGTAGACTTAGTAAAGATGATCCTCCCTCACCAACATGGATGGGTATCCCCCAATCCACTGAGGGCCTGAATAGAACAAAATGGTGGAGGATGGGTAAATTCATTCTCTGTAAGCTGGAGAAGAACATGCATTTCTCTTGTCCTCAGACATTGAAGCTCCTGGTTCTCAAGTCTTCAGACTCCATAACTTATACTAGCTCCACCCTCCACCCCTGTTCTCAGGTCTTTGGACTTGGAATAAATTATACCACTGACTTGCCTTGTTCTCCAGCTGCCAAATGGTGGATGGTAGAACTTCTCGGCCTCATAATTTAATAAGCCAATTCCTATAATCAGTCAATCAATCAATCCATCTATCTATCCATCACTCCATCCTATTGGGTCTGTTTTTCAGCAAAGACTTGACTAATACATCAGTCTAGATTTCTGCACCCAGTGAAATTATCCTTTAAGTGAAGAAAAAACAAACACTTTCGCAGACAAATAGGAACTGAAGGAATTTGCTGCCAGTAGACCTGCCTTGCAATAAACGTTAAAAGAACTTCTTCAGAGAGAAGAAAAATGACACAGATCAGAAATCTAGATCTACACTGAGAAACGAAGACCATTAGGGAAGGAATAAACCAAGGTAAAAATAAACCTTTTCTAATTCTTACTTGTTCGAACAGTGTGTTCATCATAACAACATCACCACCTAGTCAATCATTCTAGCTTATGGATAAATGAAATCAATGACAGCAATGGGATGGGGAGGAGGAATTCGGAATACTCTGTTACAAGGTACCTGCACTGCCTGTGTAGTGGTATAGTGTTACTGACAGCAGACTCAGATTAGTTATAAAGGTAAACTACAAATGCAAGGAGTAAAAAAAGAAGTGTAACTAATATGGTAAAAGATGAGAAAAAATGAAATCATACAAAATAATTAAAACAAGAGAAGGCAGAAAAGCACAATCTATAAATAAAAAAACATATGTTGATTAAAACTTCTGCTCTGCAAAAGACATCATAAAGAGAAAGAAAAGGCAAACCACAGGCTGGGAGAAAATCTTTGCAAAATAGTTATCGGATAAAGAATTGCTACTCAAAATATACAAATGACTCTTAAAACTGAAAGAGAAAACCCATAACCTAACTAAAAAGTAGGCAAAAGATCTGAATAAACACCTCATCAAAGACATACAGACAGCAAATAAGCATAAGAAAAGATGTTCATCATCACATGTCCTTAGGAAACTGCAAATTAATACAATAAGACATCACTACACATCCACAAGAATGGCTAAAATCCACAACACTGACAGCATCAAATGTTAGCGAGGACGTGGCGAAACAGGAGCTCTTCTTCCTTGCCGGTAGGAATGTGAAACGATACCACCACTTTGGAATACATTTTGGCAGTTTCTTATACAACTAAACATACATTACCTTATGATCCAAATAAATACCTTTGGTATTTATTTACTCAAATGAGTTAAAACTTACATCCACACAAAAACCTGCACACAAATTATTTATAGAAGCTTTGTTCATAATTGCCAAAACTTGAAAGCAACTAAGATACCCTTTGATAGATGAGTGAAAAAACAAGCTGTGGTACATCTATGAAGTGGAACATAATTCAGATAGAAAAAGAAATGAGCAATAATACCACAAAAAAAAACATGGAGGAAACTTAAATGCATGCTGCTAAGCAAAAGAAGTCAGTCTCAAGAGGTAACATACTGTATGATTTCAACTGTGTAACATTCTGCAAAAGATAAAACCATGGAGACAATAAAAAGATCAGTAGTTGCCAGGGCTTCAGGGTGCTGAGGGAGGGAGGGATGAAAAGGAGGAACACAGGGAGTTTTTAGGGCAGCAAAATTATTACTCTGCATAATACTGTAATGGTGGATATATTCCTTATACATGTGTCAAAACCCATATATGTGGAACATGAGGAGTAATGTAAACTACAGACTTTAGTCATTAATAATGTATCAGTATTAGCTCATCAATTAAAACAAATATACCACATGAATGCAAGATGTTAAAAACAGAGGAAATGGTTGGGGGAGGCGTAAGGGGATGGCAACTCTTTGTACTTTCTGTTCAAGTTTTTCTGCCCCCCCCACCAAAAAAAATTGCCCCCCAACCAAAAAAAAGAAAGGTGGGGAGAGAGAGTTTTCGTATATCAATGAACCTAGCTAACAAGTTTATTTGAGATAATGTGAATAGTAAGGAATAGAAACATAAACAGCAAGGATTTAGGTTAAATTACACATGTACTTTTGAGTACCATGGTTTTGAGAAAGTTTAACATGATGCTACAGAAAATTTTCAAACTAAAAAGTTGGAAAAAATATGTCACTGTAGTGTATGAACATAGGTTAACTTTGTGAGCAGTAGATTTGTCTACGGTTGCACAATTTGAGAGGGAGAAATGAGAACACAGTTCTGTGATGAATTAAAATGTTGGCATTTCTCCTTTTATTCCTTTCTAGTGTTTGTTTCTTTAAAATGCTGTTATTTTGTTTTTACAACTTATTCATTCACTTAGATAGGCAAAAGAAAATAATACTAAACTTAACTTGGATGTGACAAAGTAATTCTACCCTCATTTTTCTACTTTACAAAGCTCTAAAGTGACAGAGGTAAAAATGTTCACTGTGGCAAGCCAACCATATGGAAATGAGTAGCTTCATCAAATTAGGGCACATTTTCATGGCAAAGTAAATAATTTAAATAGAACAAAGGCAAATGTTGGGTGATAAAGTTAAAAGAAAGACTCTACTTTTGTCAAAACACAGAGCACAGGCACAGAGAATACAATGTATGTACACACAGGCACAGGAAGCATATTTGTATTTTCCAGAAAGTCCAACTAAGTTCTATGAACTGAAGAACATGTTAAGAATTATAGTCTGTATGGACAAACTTATCTTACTCTCATGTTTGAAAAGGTATGGCCCACATTGGGGCTATAAACAGCTTTGCTGAATGAATGAACGAATGATATTTTTTCGCTAAGAGGAAAGAAGAATGTATAAATTAAAAGACATTTTAATCCAATTTAGCAATGTTTCAAATTTGACTCACATTAATTTTTTTCCTTCTAAAGTTTTGAGCTCAAGGCACACTTAGATGGGAAATGAGGTGAGGCAGGAGGAAAACAGATTTTACTAAGTTCAACTAATTGCTGCTTGATTTTTAGAACTGGCCAAAATTTCATGTAAGAAAAGATGAGCTAAACAGATGTGCTTCCTTTGCATGTTTAGTGCAACTTAGAAAAATGGACCTTTTACCTGATGAAATCTTCTTCCTCTTCTCTCTTTGGCCTCAGCTGTTTGGGTTGAGCCATATTCATCCAGTTTGGTAGAGATTTCAAGAGTCTGCTGATATCATCGTCTTTTGCCCAGGACGCACTGATGACAAGTTTTTCCTCGGACTGGACAATACCCCTAAACACAGTCGATAGAAAAGAGATGCTGCAGCATAATGTCTGGTATTCAGTTAGCATTTTCAGCTACTTTGCTGCAGAAAAAAGCTATCACACTTATGTCTCTTTTGAACATACTCCATTAACTGAGTTGGAGTCAGTGATACCCATGAATAGCTCACATTACTGGGAAACAGCATTTCTACATTTCATACTTAGTTTCTTAATTGTTGAGTAATCATGATAGTTGATAATACTAATTAGTTCCATTTACCGTAGTTGATCCCTTAGGATAAATAGAAGTGCATGGTATTTTTAGGGGGGAGGAATCTTTTAAGAAAATGTTGAATAAAAAGTGGGATAACCATGTAAAAGAATGCTATTAAGTGACAACATAAGTAGTACCTGAAAGATGACAGAAGTGTTACAAAAGGTTGTACTCTGACTTCTTGGTTTAAACTATCAATTAGTTCTAGTTGAGGGTATTGTTTGAATTATGGACACCCCTCTCTTCACAGCCAATCTACCATCATAAAGAAACCCTCAGCCCCAGATGTCAGGCAGAAAAAGCCTTTGATTACTGCCATCTCCAGCAGGCTCTGACTAGTGACCTAGAGCTGACACACTTTGAGTCTTTTAATAGGACCCATGGGTTAGCTATTAACACTGCTCTTACCGGAATGTTACCTGTAAATGCATCTTAACAATTTCAACTTAATTAAAAAGCTTTTCTTTCTGTTCAACATTTGTCACTATAACTAATTTCAATGATCTAAATATCCTCATTAGCAATACTAGGTGACAGAAATGACATTTATTTATGAAGGGAGTGCCAATTAGCTGGCTACCCCTCTGGAGCTGACCAAGACTCCATGTGATTGTCCCCATCACAGGCAAGAATCTCTTTTGGTACAGGGGTCATTCTGGGGGACACGATGCACTTCCAAATAAACAATATATATGGTATGTATGTATGTATGATACCTCCTTGACCCAACAGACAATTGGGTTGGGTCAACAATTAATGTTTATAGAAAAAATAAGGTGAAGCCTAGGTCAGGTGCAGTGGCTCACACCTATGACTACAGCACTTTGGCAGACTGAGGTGGAGGGATTGCTTGAGGCCAGGAGTTCAGGACTGGCCTGGGCAACATAGATTGACCATCTCTACGAAACAAAAACAAAAGTTGAAGCCTACAAACCTTGACTGACTGACTTAAGTGACAGACTGACTTAAGGTAACATAGTTTCATGTTGTAGGGCAGGGGTCCCCAACCCTTGGGCCACAGACTGGTCCTGGTCCGTGGCCTATTAGGAACAGGGCAGCACAGCAGGAGGTGAGCAGCAGGCCAGTGAGCATGACTACCTGAGACCCACCTCCTGTCAGATCAGCGATGGCATTAGATTCTCATAGGAGCACACACTCTATTGTGAACTGCGCATGCGAGGGATCTAGATTGCAAGCTTCTTGTGAGAATCTAATGTCTGATGATCTGAGGTGAAACAGTTTCATCCTGAAACCATCCCATCCCACTCTGGTGTCTAAAAGGTTGGAAACCACTGTTGTAGGGAGCAATATTACCCTGGTTCGTTTAAAATGAATTCGAATAAATAAGAGATCTATTTATTTGCTCTCTTATTCTTCTAAAGTTTTGAGCTCAAGGCATACTTACATGGGAAATGAGGTTAGGCAGGAGGAAAACAGATTCTAGAATTCTTCTAACTCATTATAAGGAATGTTTTCTTATAGTAACTATGGTCAGAGACACAAAAATTGGTTTACAGAAACTACTTCCCGCCAATCTCTGAAATTACTTTCTTAATGCTATTTTCTATTCCCTCTTTTGCTATTTCCTTGTATCTTTTCTGCAATATTTACGGACTAATCCAGCAATCTAACTTTTACCATCTTATACTTGCATTGCAATCTTATAGCACGGTACCAACTCAGATACGAGATTCTGGTGCAGGTGTACCCTCAATGTTCTCTGGCATTGTTTATACCTGTCTCTGATCAGGTTCCTCTCCCCATTTATATTAGTAGCTATCTCTTTAAAATCATTTGCCTTTTCTGTATGTCTTATTGCTTATCCCCCATATCCTTCCTATCTGACAGAGAAAGGAAGCAACCTAATTACATGCTTTCAAATATTTGACCTCTTAACCCCAACCGAAATATGTTCAAATCTATTTCATCCTCACTCATTTCCAGTAATTCCTCTATGTAGGCTCTTGGGGATCTTTTTTTCCTGACCTATCTCCCCATTTTCCTGTATTTTTAGTCTTTCCACTATGTATTCCCTAATCCTCTGTTATTTTTTAAATGAATGAATGAATTAATTAATTAATCTCTTCCCTACATTTTTCTCTAACAAAGCTGCTCCCTCTCCTTCAAAAGTATTAATCAAAGGAGCCACCTAAACTAACTGACTTCACTGCCTCATCTGTCATTCATGAAATCTCTCTCCAAGGTCTACTTTATGATTTAACCCATCTACTGCTTTTTTGAAAAATTTTCAGTTATTATATTTTTCATTTCTAGATTTTCTATTTGGCTCTCTACAAATCTACTAGCTTTTCCCCTCTAAAATGTCCTGTTCTTGTATCATGGAAACTGGTCTTTTTTTTAATCTCCTCGAATGTTTTAGAAAACAATTTTTAGGTTCCTTTTATGAAGTGGATTTATATTCTTTGGTAGTTCTCATAGATATCAAGCGTCCTATTTGTTGCATCTGCCTTCTTTTCTATTGATGCATTTCCTCATGTGGTCTGCTACTTTGGTCTGGAAGCTCTATTCAATGGGACTTGTCCTCTGCAGGAATCCTGCATTTGCTCTGAATTTTCAAGGTATCACTATTAGGTAGTCTGCATTTGCCTCTCCTGAATCCTATGAGTTCCACTGGTTCCAAATAGGTTTATAATTTTTGTTTCTCTTTTCTTTTCTCTTTTTGACTTAAGGCTTTTTCTCCCTATGCAGGTAGTACAAATTAAGGTTCTTACTTGCACATATCACATAAGCTGTGGGATTCTGATTTCTTTTAGGGACTACTTTTCTACTCCAGGTTGGGTGGCTCCTTCTTAAGTCCCAAGTTTTCTTGGTTCCATTCATGAGTGAACTAAGAAATATGAATGAAAACAGTCCCTTGTGTAACTTCTGCACAGACAGACCTCCCTCCCTGCCTGGAAGATGTCAAAAGACTAGCCTCTATTTGACCTCTGTATGTGGTCCTGAAACCTTTGTAGCCCACTCATCTTCCACATCTTTCTGTGGCTTTTAATTCTTCTTTCATTCATGGCATCTGGAGAATTCTCTTTCATCCTTTTGAGTTTGGTTACATATTTAAAATATGTTTAAAGTTATAATTTTGTTTTTATCCAGAATTTCTATAAGTTAGAAGCAAGAAAAGAGCTTTTTAAATCTATTCACTCCAAACTTTTGACAGGAAATCAAAATCCAGTCTTAAATCAACTGCAATCAGGGTTTTAGAACCATTATTCCACTGAAATTGCTCCACCAACCCATAAGCACTTTTTATTTTATTCTTTGTACTCTTTGACTATTCTAAAGCATCCAAAACTTTTGATCACTCTCTTCTTGAAATATTACTCTTTTGCTTTCCACATCATGTTCTTTACCTACCATCCTAACTTTTCTTAGCCAAACAGATAGCTCTTTTTCTCTGTCCATACTTTAAATGGTGTGTTCCACAGAATTCTGCATTTCCCACTTGGACAGTCTCATCTTCTTGCCCAACTTGAGCCACCTATATTCTGATGACTCTGAAATTATTATCTCTAGGGCAGCCCTCTCTTCTAAGTTTCCTATCTGCATAGCCAAAGGCTTACTGTAGAACTCTACTTGAAAGTTCCATCCACACTTCAACTTATAATGAGTCAAGAGGAACTCAATTACTAACTACTTCTGTCTCTCTCTCCCACTAAGTATCTAATGTTCCCTCTTCATGCCATCCCGTTATTAGAGTCAGGAACGCAGAGTCATCCTACTTACCCAGTCACCACATCTTGCCAATTCCTCCTCCTTAATATCTTAATAAATCTGTCATTTCCTGTCCAGGTTCACTGCTATTAACCTACATTCAAACTCATCATTTTTCACTTGGACTTGGCAATAACCTTGTAACTGGGCTTCTTGCCTACAGCTACAAGACCATCAGTTTGACTCACCACACCAGTCAGAAGAGTCGTTTTTCTAAACTACAAATACAATCATGTTATAACCCTTCTTACAAGTCTTCCGTGACTCCTAATTCCAGGTAAGACGAAGGCTAGACTTAGCAAGCCATGAACACCTATCTTTCTACCTTCACCTCCTGGTATTCCTTTCCTCCGTTGTGTCTGTTCACGATTCCTAGCCAATCCCTTGCCTGTGCTGGTTGAACACACTACCTGTAATGAGTATTCCAAAATTTTCCAAATAGGATCTATTATTTCCTGCTTCTGTGTGTCATCTCGACCTAGAAAGCCTTTTTCTCATCCTCCTTGTTTGCCTCTACTTATCAAGCACTGCCCCAGCTCCTCCCTTGATACATCTGAGTCCTCTTTTTTTGTGCCTCATCACTCCTATACCGGAGGTTGACAACCTTGACTACACATTAGAATCACTTGGGGAAGCTATTTAAAAACCCAGATGCCCAAGTCATAACCAAGCCATAACCAAGACCAAGTAAATCACAATCTCTGGGGTGTGAGATCCAGGCAACTGAATCTTCTGGGGTTTCCCATGTGATTTAAACGGGCACTCAAGGGCCACAACCTTTGCATTTTCCAACCTCCATTTTCACTGGTCCTACTACACTTTTTTTGCAAGCTGGAATCCCATACTGGATGATGAGTTTTCTGAGGGCAAACTTGATTTCTTACTAGTTTTTGTGTCCCCTGTGCCTAGCACAATACCTGGTATTTGGAAGGCATATAAGAACTTAAGTAGAGATAAAAAGAAGCCCTCTTTAATGTCAAAAGTTGAGTTAACTTATTACACTAAAACTATCTTAATGGTTTCCG